AATTGCTTCCATTCGAGGTAACTGTTACCAGTTATCAAGCGTGTACTGTGCCCTGGATGTTTTCTGTGGGATACTTCATTTAGTTTTCACAAAAACCCTATGTGCTGGTTATTATTATTTCTGTTTAACAGACAAGACATTTCAGAGAAAGTAAGTAATTCTCGTAAGTTTCCACATTTAACAAGTGGCTGAGTTGGAATTCAGACTTAAATTTTGTTGGTCTCTAATCTATGTGCTTTAGTCCAGTAGCTTTAAAACGTATTTCTTGGTTGTATACCCATAAAATAGCCTGGAAGCTCTATGTGCCCTCTTATACTTTAACTGTCACCTAAGGTTTTCAATATACGTGTAGTTGATAAAGATGTGGTTTCAGGCACAATGTAAATCCTGAAGTTTACTTGTACCATATAAACACCACAGAGATTTGAAAAGTTTCATCATTTTTTTTAAGTAATCACTTTAGGACTTGTAAATTTTACATTGTTCTCTTTTGTCCTGGAACTTAAATTTTTATTCCAGTATCACTAGGATTTTAATTGCATTGTATAAAATTTTTATGCATGGAAACATTCTATTGATAATTTTACCATACACATATGCTAAATTAAATAATACATATTTAAATTGAAATATATAATTATAACAGTTTTTGGTGACATAATTTTTCAAGTAAACTCATTTCCCTTTGAGTGAGTTGTTATAATTATTACTGTTACATAACTTAACACAAACATGCTACACATTTTGACCGAGAATATTCAATTTAAGAGATAAATATTTTTATTTAAAATGCATTATTTAATGGCATAGATGAGACTTTCTTCCTAATTATGGAGCACATCCATGGATGACTATTAGTTATTGCTAGAATGGGAGTTCAAAACGAATTGCAATCCTTTTGCTGGTTTTTGTTATATAAGGAACTAGAAATAGTTTTTATGAAAGTAAATCTGTTGGGATGTAGCAGTTTTCAAACTTCTTTTGATTACATGAAAAATAACACAAGGTCATGCATCTAAACTATTTCCTTTAATAACCAACAATTCAAATAGGATTTTCTTTAATTTTTTGAAAGTAAAGAATTAGAAGTCTTTTTGATTTAAAAAGGTGTTTTCTCACACTCTCATTAGGCTCTTATTCATTTTCAAATTTCTGGTAATACAAAATTATTTATTAAGCGTATCAAACAACTCTTCTGTCTTTCTTTAATTCTTTAGCTCTTTATAGGCATTTATCTTACTTAGACTCATATTCTCATAAAGGTTGGGAAGATTGAAAAAATAACTACTTTCAAATTAGACCTATTATCTTTTCATTAATAGCTTTTATTTTGTGCTTTACAAATATATTTTCATCAAAGCCTTGGAAGTACTTATTTAACTTATCAACATATGGATACCATATGCCTTATAACTGGATTAGCTGAGCCAGTTCTCATTGTCCAAACAACAATCAAATGTTCTTCATGACCACTAGTTTACTTCCATTTCCCTCAGAGCATGTGTCCAATATGAAAGAGGAGAAGCAAGAGTTGAACTTGGGTTATTTGGTGATTCTTCTGCCCCAAAGGATCTCTGAATCATTTGGTGAAATTTTAGATTTCATATATGTCAACTACTTCAAAGGATAGAGTACCAAAGCCCCAAAGTCAATAAGTAGATACTCAAAGATAGCATATGTAAAGGCACGTCTGTTCCTAGGTGTCCACATTCAGCTCTCCCCATGCCAGTGATAGCTCATTTACTCTTTGACAGAAGGCAGTGTGGTATCAACATGCTTTCATTTCCACACCCTGCAGATCGGGAAGGGAATTTTTGATGGACTATCCATGATGGTAATATTCCAGAAAACAAAAATTCAGCATTTATAGGCTCCCTTTATGGAATATTATAGTTTAGTGATTGTGTTGTTTGACCATTTACTTCACTTACTCAAAAAATATCTATTGAATCATCTTGTGTACACAGAGTGGGGATGTAGCAGGAAATGTGAACAAGATGAGGCACAGGTATGTTATGTTACGTTATATTACAGTGGGAAGCCAGAGAGTAAAGAACCAAATGCACAGTTAATCATTCCTTGCAGTGACAGGAACCTCTATGAATAAAAGGTAGGGTGCCCTGAGCATGGATAAAAGGAGATCCATCTCACAAGGTTCAGGGAAAGTTTTCTTGACTGACATTTAATCAGAGGATTGGAAGACTGGATGTTATATGCCATCTTGGGCAGAACTGCAGAGGAAAAGCATGCACAGCGTTCTGAGAATAAGAGAAATACATGCAGAAATTGTTAAAAATGCAGGTAGGTCAGGGAGATAGGGAGATGGACACACAAACAATCCAAGAAAGGGCTGGAGGGGAGTCATAGGCAGATGGCACTGAGGCTCCCTTGTCACAGATCTTCATGATTTTGGTGTATGTCTCAATATCAGTGATCATTGCAGATGCACAGTCAGGTGGTCATTGAAGCAGCATTACTCTGGGTCAGAGGGAAGCTCCCTCTTGCCTTATCCCCGTTTCATGGATAGGTGTCCTTAGGCCTCCGATATCAGTTCCTTGCCAACATAACATATCATATATATCATGCCAAACTGAGATTTAAGTTCAGTCTGGTTCAATCCAAAATGTCTACCAATAATCTACAATGTATCTCCTTCTTTACCTAGAAAAAGTGCTACGGAATTCAAGCTAGCTTTTGCTTATGATATATTCTCTCAATTCTTTTTTTTGTCTCTCTCAATTCTTTACTGTAGAGTCAATAAAATATTTGTGTAGTTCTACCTGCATATTTTGTTTTACAAATAACAGCTTATCAGCACAATTCACGATAGCTAAATTATGGAACCAACCTAGATGCCCTTCAATAGATGAATGGATAAAAAAAGGTGGTATATACACAATGGAATTTTACTCAGCAATAAAAGAGAATAAAATCATGGCATTTTCAGGTAAATGAATGGAGTGAAAGAAGAATTGGCTAAGTGAAGTTAGCCAATCCCCCCCCAAAACTAATGCCGAATGTTTTCTTTACTATAAGGAGGCTGATTCATAGTGGGATAGGGAGGGGGAGCATGGGAGGAACAGACAAACTCTAGATAGGGCAGAGGGATGGGAGGGAAAGGGAGTGGGCAGGGGGTAATTAATGTTGGTCGAATGTGATCATTATCCAAAGTACATGTATGAGGACACGGAAAAAAAAAATGCTCCAATGCATGTTACATTTGAGAACATACTGTATTTCATAATAAAACACATTTTTAAAAATTGACACCAAAACCAAAACAAAAACAAATAACAGCTTATTGTAGAAAATAAATACATAGGGGAATAAAGATAATTTATTGCTGGGCATGGTGGCACATGCCTGTACTACTAGCAGCTTGGAAGGCTGAGGCTGGAGAATCACGCGTTCAAAGCCAGCCTCAGCAAAAGTGAGGCACTAAGCAACTCAGTGAGACTCTATCTCTAAATAAAATACAAAATAGGGCTTGGGGTGTGGCTCGGTGGTCAAGTGCCCCTGAGTCCAATCTCTGGTATTTCCCCCAAAATAATAATGATAATTTTCTGGTTATTTCAATTCCCATAGATAATTACTATAGATATTTTTCTAGAAATATGTTCAGACTTTCGTTTTCTCCCAGTGCATTGGTGTATGAATGTGTGTGTGTAAAGCTGTATTTTTATTACACAAAATGGATAGGATCACTCTGTATGTATTTTTAAACTACTTTTTAAATTAACCACATGTTGCAAAACTCCTTGCACGTTTGGTCTGGTTATGTTTAGCACAGTTCATGGCACCCAGTGAAGAATTAGCTTAGTGACTATTGATTACAGTTGTCATAGTCAATGTTATAAACTTAAATTGCCCTCCAGTAAGGCTGAAATATGTTGACATCCCAAAACACGAGAATATTCTTTCCAACATGCCTCAATCTCCTCTGAACTTGGCTTCTATCACTTATTTTTTTTTGCCATCTTGAATATTAAAAATAGAATCATGTTGCTTAATTTTGTATTTGTTTTACTACTAATGGTTAAGTATTAGTTGTGGTTTTGTTTTTGAATTTTCCTGCTCTTATTCTTCTGTTAGTTTGCTTATTATTTTCTTACTGGTGTGTAAGAACTCTCTCTATATTGTGATTCTTACATATTAAATGCTTATTACAGACATTTTCAGATGCTTACAGCTGATGATGTGGTTTTTAAAATTTAGGTATTAGTGGTTTTTCAAAAATAAATAAGTTGTAAATTAAGTAATTTAATTTACTAGCTTTTGTTTTCTCCTTTGCATTTTGCAAATAAATGCCTTATTCACGTCTGTGGAATATAAATATGTCATTTTTTACATTCTTCAAAAATAGGGGACCATTGGTATGAGAAATGGAGCAGGGTATGTATTTGTGGTGTCACTGGAAAGAAGTAAAAATGGTCTCTGCTTTTGGGAGAGTTTCAGTGGCTTGTGGATCTTTGACAAGTTTCTTGCTTGTCAAAGTCTGAAAAATCTGAGGAGTTTTTTCCTTTTGTTTTCATTTGCTTTTCTTAAAACCACAGAGTGTTTTGTGTTTCAGGTAATCCACTACAAAGTACAATATATCACAAAACGCTCATCTTGGTATCAGGTTGGGACTTCTAAGACAGGGGGTTGGTTACATTTTTGAAATTGAATAATAGCAATGGCCAATTAATTCCATATTGTTTATTATGAAAAGAATAATTTCACTTCTGAAAAAGAAAAAAGTAACATTAACTATTAAATCATGTCTTATTTGTGGGCTTAAAAAATACTGACAAATGTGCAGATGAAACTTTGTCTTATTTTGTGAACTCAATTTTAAGTAGTTGGCTTATTGAGTTCTGAATAAGTAGCTATTTAATGAATTGCCCTTATTATGAAATTCACAGAAATTGCAACAGAAACTTTTTCCCTCTACTTAGATATAGGTTTTTATGAACACTTTAAACCCACACTTAACTGAAAATGCTTTTTTTTCTTTCTAGATTTTGTTTCTACCAGTCTGATATTATACATGGCTACTGACAGCAATGCTCTTGTAAGTATTATTTGCAAAAACTGGACTTTGGATATGGTTAGTTTAATGAATAAGTAAAATAATAGAAAAGTTTGATTTTTAAGTTTGGTTCTCAATTTATTTCCTCCATTTCATTAGTCACAACACATAGTAGACTAAATGATCCTTTGTTAGGTTTCCAGGCTTTTATGATCACTAAAGCTTTTAAGTTCTCTGACTAGCTGAAGATCAAGTAATATAACTGTGTTGAAATTGACCAGATTATGTCATGTACATGTGCAGACACATCACAGTGAATCCCTTTGTTATGTATAATTAGAATGTACCAAAAAAAAAAAAAAGAAAAGAAAAGAAAGAAAGAAATACAACCTTGTACTGAATAAAAATCATCTGTGTGCTCTTATACTAAGTATGATACTAGTTCAATCTCTCAGGAAAAAAAAATCTGTTAACCATTACATTGAAATCGTGAGTTTGTTTTAAAACAATATTATGGCCTTCAATTTGCCTAAGATAGATAAGTAAATTGAGCAAATGTGTTATCTGTATTGGATAAAGAAACTTAGGCACAGAAAATTAGCTTACGCTAGTAATAGGGCATTTCTAATGGAAAGGGATGTGGAATGGTGGGGGGCTCTATGGTTTGCATCTTTTGGCGAATGGAATGCCCTCGTGGTGGATGCACAGGACCGAGTTTTTGGAGTAGAGCTAAAAGCAGAATCAGCAGTGATTTGTAAGAAGGCAGGATAGACTGCCTGCCAAATGGGGAAAGTGAACAATGGTTTCCTGATGCAGATTAGATAAGGAAGTCAAGGTGGCTGGTAGCAACAGTGACGGAGAGGCTGAGTTAACTGGACAGCTCCTTGAAGGGACCTCTTACTAAAAAGCAGGGAAGCTGATGCATTCTCTGCTTGGCTTGCTGACAATTTCATATCCCAGAAATAGAGAAGGCAATGAACACACTGTAAATCTGGTGCGGATTCTAAATAAGGAGGAAAAGCTTGTTAGTGATGAGAAATGGTGAGAGCTTTGGGAGACAGGACCACAGAAAGCTAAAAATGAAAGAACAAATTATATATGTATTGGAGGAAATTTTCCATCCAAAACATGAAAGGAGAAAGGTATGCTCCCTTGGACATTAATGGATGTGTAGTTTTTGATCTCAGAAACGAGAAGCATCACAATGATAATAAGTACGAGGATCAACTAGGAGAATAACTGGGGCTGTAAAGGGAGACGTCCTGCATATGTACAGGATATTGAAAGAAGGTCCTGTGTTCAAGAGTCAAAGCAAATGGATTTTACAAGTATGTAAAAATAGGGAGGTTCAAGTTCAGAGTAACCAAAGTTCGAAGGAAATAAATATATCTTGTAGTCATGTGTGTATGTGTTATATGGAACACAGAAGTGAAAGAAAGCGATAGGAATTCCAGATCCTTGGGAAAAGTAATACAATGTTGCTTCACTTTTTGTTTTTCCACTGAAAGAATATAATCTTCCAGGGGTTTATAAAAAAA